GTATTAAAGTGTTTATATTTTAAAAAAAAGAGGGGGGGGGGGGGGGGGGGGGGGGGGCTGAGGAACCTGAGTTTAACAAAAGTATAAAGACAGTCATACAGATAAATTCTTATTGCCATTCTCCACAATGAAAAGGAAGATACCAAAAACACTATTTCGATATTATGCTGTACAGTTAAACTTACAAGTCGACTTTGCCTAACTCGAATAATTTCTAAGTCGATCTCATTTTTGACTACGCAAGTTTAAAATGGATATGAAACCATTTTCAAAAATCCAATGAATGAAGGTTTTGGAATCCTTGGGTAGTCAATAAACCAGTCACAAAATACTAACCTTGAACAATTTGTTGAATTTGAGAAATTAATAAATACATTTGTAAAGTAATTTCTCCGAAAAATGGCCGATATGTCGATACGCCATCTTTGTTTTCATACGCATTCTAAACCCACTGCGATCGTTCAGATAATTTGAAACAACCGCGTTATATTCCCGACTGTAAGTGATTTGTGATTGGTCAATCAAATTGCACTTTGACACGATAATCGCCGACGACAAGTAAACAAACAAGATGCCGAACGGTTGTAATTGTGTATTCGGCTTCAATAGAACGCAAATAAGTCACCCAAAAGTATCGATTTTCCTCTTTCCCAAGAAAGATAAAAATATAAAAACTTTTAATAAGTGGGTAGAATAAAGGACAACGAGGAAGAAGATGTTGAGGAAATGCCATCTCAGACCAAAAAAGAAAAACAACGAAATCTATATACCGACGAAAACGGGAGGTTGAAAGTGTAAGTAAGTAAAGTAGCTAGGCTAGGCCTAGGTAGCATATTAGCTAGGCATAGCCTAGCCTAGTCTAGTTAGGGTGGGGGTGGTGGCTAGCCCCCGGCGGCCCTACCCTACGTAGGCCTAGCAATTTTGCGCCAAAGATTGCTATGAAGATGATGCACAATATCGTACCTTACTAATCTAGGCCTATACTACTTCTTAGGTCTAGCAGCAGCAGTTCGGGGTCTACTATCTACACTACTAGGCCTAAATCTTATGCATTCGCCGTAAATGCTAATCACATGTTTCAGCTAGTATTTGCTTTAGAACCTACCAAGCACCCTCTTTTACTCCTGGGTGGAGGCAATGATAACCCCTTGCCAAATGACTAACTAGTGTAGAATAATTGTTATACAGTATTTTCGTACTGTATAACATTGTAAATACTTTTTTGAAATAGTCATTTTCTTGGATTTTCCTGAGCACCGACATCTGAAACCTTGCAGTGATGGGCTTGTTAGTCATTTGCAAGATGTAACCACGTAAACGGACATGCAAATAGATACGGAGTTCTCCAACCATAGACATCAGAAAAAATATGTTGAAATACAAACTACACTAGTGAAGTTATTGAATAGCTCTTACAAGTTACTGTAACTTAGATTTTTTAATTTTATCTCAGAACCTACATAGCAGCTTTGCAAACCAGGGAGGAGATCTTGAGAACTCTTTGTGGTTCTCTCTTGCCAAAAAAGACTGGGTAGCTGAAAAAAATCTTGTCAAGTCTACATTCGGTAAGATAACTTTTCAAAAAAATAATTTGTGCTTACCCATTTATATGTTATACTTGTTGAAGTATTTCAATGCATTTATAAGCTTAATTTCCACCATTTCAGTTAATACAGTATATATCAGCATTTGGGTCAGGCATTTCATGTGTTAATAATATGTGAATGTTGTCTATCTTTGCAGAATACGCTGCGAACATAATTGAAATGGCTCTGTACATGGCAAAAAGTAATATGAATAAAGTTTTTTACACTGCTGAAATAATGTGCGATCCGGGAACAATTGCTGGGAAATTACCGAAACCAGACAAAAATCAGTTCGTGTCCGGTTTACTCAGCCGATTAAATAATTAAATTAAATACTGTATAGCCATACAGTAACATGACCATGTTACACTTTTTTTTATAAGAGCCATTCAAATTATGCCCAGGCTCACTGTTATTATTTTTGCTGATTCCAGCATTGCTCTATTTCCATTTACAGAAAATTGTTATTGTACAGCAGTATATTACTGTGCTATAAATGTTATAAGATTGTTATCGTTGAAGTATAAACAGGCCTTTATCCTCAACCTGGGCTTCAATATTTGGAAAAGCTTTTGGTTTGTACCTGATTGTACTTTAAACATTTCTTATGAGGTAGTTCTTGTTATCTTGCATAGTAAAATACCTACTACATGTCTTGTGACTTGTTTCCAAACTACATCTTCCACGTTGTATTAACAAATTCTACCCACTTATTAAATGTTTCTATATATTTTTTGGAAAGAGAACAAAAGATAGTTTCTGGTGACTAAATTGCATTCTGATGTGTTGAATTTGTGTAGAAAAAAATCATGGAAAATAATTTTATATAACCAATTATGTTATTTACTAAGATAATTCATATATAAGGGTTTTTTGAAATGATAATACTGTTAGTTCAATAAACAAGCACTTACCATTAATAATTTTTTAAACAAGTTAAATTGGATAACAATTATATTTATTATTACATGTACTAATCTTTACATTTAATGATAATAAAGCATGATTTAGCATGAATACTGCAATCATAATCTAACTGTAAATTAGTGGAAAGTGTCTTCACTTTGTTTCAGTACTTAGCAAAGGTTGTCCCATTTTGTGAAAAAATAATAAGAGTTCGTCAGTGTTAAATAATATCATGAGAGTCTCTTGTAGCATGAATACTGCAATAGTAATCAAACAAGTATTTCATTAATCAAATTGTAAATGATTTTAATTGAATTGCAATTATACAGTATATAGTACAGTAGTAATACTACTTACATTAAAAAAAAAGAAGACATGCATATTGTTTTTAAGGTTGTTGGACATACTGTATTACTAAAATAAATATGCTATTACGAAGCACACAAAACCTGGTATAGTGTAATGCCTTAATTTTGTTAATAAATAGGTGCCTAGTATCGTCAGGAAAATTGAATCATACAATTTTACATCTTACACTGTATTGTTTGCTCTGTAATTCATAAGTTATTGGAATTATGCTTTACATAGTCTATTTTATAACCATAGTGAATGATACGCAGATTGTATAGGCCTATTTATGAACAAAAAACACCTCAATTTCAGGGCATTCTATATTATATAGCTGAATTGCATTGTAATTAACCAAAAATAAATTATTGTTAAAATATACAATTTTAATAGATAAAATTAATTTAACACAGACATAATAATTCATACTGGCAATACATTAACATAGCTACAGCATGAGGAGCCTCTGGTCAAAGGAGAAGCTAAAATTCACCTGTCTGGGGAGGATATTTAAACTCTGTGTAGTTGGCACTGGGTTCAGGAAATACAGCGTATGGACTTCATTACACGACATCAGCACTCGCCTGTCTTTGCCAAGATAACCACAGCACCAACGTACAAATTGCTGATAGGCTGTATACCTGTAACGCCTGGAAAAAAAAATTGTGAAGCAATATAATATAGATTTGTTTTGTGTGTGAGGGGAAGATAAAACAGGAATTAAAGCATAACTACACCTCATAAATAGTAATCAGATTTAATAAAATATTTTATTGGTCAATTCCATTTGTAAGCAGTGGGGTATTTTGCAAGACTTGCATGTAAGTGCACACACGAAGAAAAAGTAAGGTACCACCCAAAATATTAACTAATGAATGCCTAACAGAACAAAAATATATGTTGATGTTTGCGGTACACCACATAGGCAGTTTTGAAAAGAACTGTTGTAGTTAAGAAACTCTCAACGTTTTGATTGAGTTGCTTCAGTCATCTTCGGGAGAATAATACCTGCAGAAATTGCAAACAGGGAAATACTTATATGTTTGAGTAGAGAAGTACAAAAATAATTCATCTATGCATTCTTTACCTTTCGACTCCCCCTTCGGTCACAGGCTCCTGGTATTGTGAAACATGCTGCCAATATGCAATTTGTAGTGTTACAGGATTTAAGATGGCTGGTTCAAACCAAGGATATGTGGTAATGCACCCATTGTGGTATGGTTCTTCATTGTTTTTTTGCATAACCTTTTCAATCTGTTAAAAAAAGATGGAACATGAATTCATGAAAACTTCAAAAATATTTAATCAATATTTAATATTTAATACAACACAGGTAATGTAATACACACCTTTTCCACAGTGCAGTAGTAATAGTAGTACTCTAGACTAGCATTGCTTTATTTACCATATGAGAGTTTCCTGTGTTAAAAACATGATTTATACTACACTTATTGATACTTGTACTTTATAATAAGAGAAATCTCATATTATTGATACCTGAAAGTACTATGCTACTGCACTGTAATGCTTAGGCCTATTTTAATACACTACTTAGATAGGGTTTTCTTTTTCCATCTTGATTTCAGAGGTCAAAAACATTTTTCAATTTTTTTTTCAATCATATAGTGGTGTACAATAGTCTTTTGAGAACATTTTCCAGAAAAAAATAAGGTGGTACGACCCTCAGTTATGAAGTTTTAGATAACATGAGGACAAGAATTCTGCTTCAAAGCTTATTTTCATGGTAGGGAGGAAGATTTTTTTTTTCTCACATCAAACATGAAAAAATAGTGTCACAAGGAAAACTATGAGACCAAAATTGCATACAAGAAATTATGTAATTCATCTAAACCAAGCAGAAACTTTGCCTATGAATAACAGTCATAATGCAATTTCTGTAAATAATAATGCACAATTTACTCCAACACAACAGGCATCATGGATGCCATGTGGCTACAATAGTATAGAACAACAGTAGAGCATAGAACTGCATATTTAATGGAGTTTTGTAAAAAAAAAAAATCATTCAAGTCAGTGGCCTCTCTGATTGCTGGGAGGGGATGCTAACCAATTTTCTTTTATTTTACATGGCCTTAATTTGTATTTTAATCGAATGGTTCTTACTTCTTGACAACAGGAACGATTTTCCCACATCTCTTCCACGACGCAGTTTCCACAAGTATATATAAAATGACAGAAATGCATTTTTTTTTTATTAAACTAATGATTTTATAGAACATAATAGAAGGACTAGGTCCAATTATCATAACTCAGACAGGTTCTATTTCCCCAAATAGAAGCCCAGGGTATGATTTTAATGGCTCAGTTGACTTCTAGTCTACAAATACTTTCAGAAAAAAAATATCAAAGATACGCTTTAAATTATGCATGCAATGTTAAATATTCCGTTTGGTTTTCCATCCAAACAACTTTAAATAGGGCACGCTGATGTCAGATTTAAAAGGATATTTTTTTTTATATTTGGTTAAAATGGAATTCCCCTGGGTATACACCCACCAACTAACTAGGCTAAAATAGGCCAAACATATGGCAATAGGCCTTAGTCTACTAGTATTTAGTACCACCCTAACCCTCTCTACAGTATAGGCCTAGCCAAAGATGGCCTAGTCTAGATAGGCAAAGAAGGGCTATCCTAGGCATAAAATACGTACCTCGCTAGACTAGGCTTAGGCTATAACAGGCCTAGCCTAGGAAGGTAGACCCCAGACTATGAATTGGCTAGGCCTAGTTAGAAGCCGGGTCGTGACAAAGTGCGAGCCAGCGAGTCATGCGAGCCAATGAGCGAGCCATGCGAGCCAGCGA